CAGGTAGAACGTCGGCCTGCGGTCCTGAGAGACCGGGTTCGGTTCCCGCTAAGGGCATGTACCTCGGCTGCAGTTTGTCCCTGGTCCTGGTTGGGTCGTGTGGGTGGCAACCACTCAACGTGTCCCTTTCACGTTGATGTTTCTCGCTCTCTCTCCCTCCCACTCTATCTGAACAAAAAATGGGAAAAGTGTCCTCCGGTGAGGATAAAAAAAAAAAAAGTATATCTTCAGGATACATTCTTAGGAGCAGGATGAACTTTTTATTTAAAGGACGTGATGTAGCCCTGGCTGTTTTGGCTCAGTGGTAGAGTGTTGGCCTGCAGACCAATGAGTCGCAGGTTTGATGCCAGTTGAGGGCATGTACCTCGGCTGTGGTTTGTCCCCGGCCCGTGTGTTGGAGTCGTACGGGAGGCAGCCACTCCATGTGTCCCTTTCACGTCGATGTTTCTCTCTCTTCCTTGCTCTCCCTCTCACTCTATCTGAACAAAAAATGGAAAAATGTTTTCGAGGGAGGCTAAAAAAATAAAGGACATGATGTATATATTCAAATGCTTCCTAGAGGGTTGTCCCCAATATATAATGTCACCTGTATTGCCTTTCAGGACACACAGTTGAGTAGGCACAGTCTTGTCTCCACACAGCCTCCCTGCACTGGACACTGTAATTGTGACCTCACTCTGTGGCAGGTATTGAATTGGACTGATTACTCAGGAAATCTTCATTTTTTCATGTTGGTTTTGGTGGGAATCATACCCGACACTGCTTTTGGCCCAACTGCTCTTCCATTAGGTTGTTAAGAACCCCTGTTCTGTGCCCTTAATCCCATCAGCTTGGATGTCCCCTGGTGCCACAGTGGCAACCAAGTGCTTATGGCGTCTCAAAGGGAGTGCCAAAGCACTGGGTGGGAGGGCTGGAGAGGCGGGTAGGGATGGTGGGGCAGCACAGTCTGAAGAAGTATATTTAATGGTATAGTGTACCTGGAAGAGGAAAATGCTGGTGGTTTTCCTTGTGTTAAACTAAACATGGTTTGACAAGATTTCTGAGTTGCTTGTTTTTGGCTCAAGAGGACTTATAACATGAGTTGGTGACACTTTCACAAAGGCCAAGAGCAACCCCATCTAGGGAGGTGGGCAGCATGGACAAAGGGCCTTATGGGTTCTAGATGTTTCAGCTGGGCCATCTCAAGCATCTGGTGGGCTGATTCCTCGCAGTTGTGCTGTTGTCTCCCAGTTCACAAGAGGGCCTTCCGGAATGATGTCGTCTCACACCATGGCTGCCTATTTGATAACTGTGGATAGCTCTGAGCAGCTGGCAGTGCTGGGTCTGAGGGTCAGACAACTGAAGCCCTTGGCCCATCTCAAGTCAGCATCACCAGGTGAGAGGTGATGGCACCCATCTTGATGGGCTTGGTGAGGCCAGTTGGAGTCATGCTCACAGTGGCATATTTGGTGCCAGGAGCTGGATATGGGCCCTCCCACCCATCTTGGGGCTGGGCCAGTCTGAATGTGCCTAGGCTCTTCCTGAGTCCCCCTAGGAAGTGGGTGTGTAGCTTCTGTGCCCCACACTAGCCTGTCCCAGTTTCCTTCATGCTTCCTGTAGCTGAGGACAGAGCCTCTCCGAGATCTGTTGGGGTTGTGGGATATTTGGACACCCCCCCTCATAGGGGCGAGCAGCTCCCTGGTGACTGTGTCCATGCAGTCCTGTGAGCTCAAACCACAGTCACACAGAAACCGAGTCCTGTACTGGTCTTCCTGCTGTGATGTTATTTCATTTTGAAGTGATCCTATGACATGAATAAGAACCTGAGTCTCAGGAAAGGAAGTGACTGGACTGAGATCACAGAGCAGTTGTAGGTAGGCCTGGGCTTCAACCTACTCTTTTTTTTTTACGTTTATCTTCAGACAGAGCGGGAGGATGGAGGGAGAGAGAGAGGAGAGGGAGAGGGGGAGAGGGGGAGAAGGGAAGGGGGAGGGGGAGAGGGAGAGGGAGGGGGAGAGGGAGAGAAACATCGATGTGAGAGAGACACATTGACTGGTTGCCATCCACACAACCCCAACTGGGGCCGGGAACGAACCACAACCGAGGTACCTGCCCTTGGCCATAATCAAACCCGGGACTCTGGTCCTCAGGCCGACGCTCCAACTGCTGAGCCAAACCGGCCAGGGCTCAACCCACTCTTAACCCCTGTGCAGAAAGGACTAAACTGACCCCAGGGGACTGGTTTTTGCCTGATGAGAGTGTCTAGGTCCATGGCCTGATAGTCTGCTATCAGTGTGATTTATGGTGTGCTCTCTGGCGGGGCTGGAGTCTGAGGTCAGTCATATAGGCAGTTAGCTATGTTGATGTCACCAAGGCAATAAAACCTCTGGATGCCAAGGATTAGGTGCACTCCCCTGGCTGGCAATACCCTGTGCACATTGTCACACATTGGTGCCAGGAAAGAAGAGCTGACCGTGGCTTCTCAGGGAGAAGACAACAGAACTTTTGCATTTGGTACTTTTCCTAGATTGGGCACCATGCAATCCCTCAGTGGACTGATTTTAGTATCTGTTCCCTGTAAGTACATTGTAATCATGTGTATCAGCTTTCAGGGTGAGTTCTGAGTCAATATAGCAAATTACTGAAGATGGGGGTGATGTTGGTGACCTTTGAACTTGTGATTGGTGTTGGAAGTGAGAGCAAGTCTTGGAGACCCCTGAACTCCACACATCACCTTCATTTCTCAGCTGGTTAACTTTTACACATGAAACCAAGCATTTCCCAAACTCACCCAGGTGGGCTGTAGCAGAGACCCCCCCCGCCCCCGCTCCCAGTGCCACCACTGTGATCTTCCTCTGCCTTGGGCCAAGTCCACGCGTGGGAAAGATCATCCTTGGACTCTGCCACCAGGTCCTCTGAATGCAGTGGCCTTTGGAAGCCTACTCTCCCCAGCCTGTTCTCCAGGAGTGCCCCTGCCTCTCAGGGCCGCCTCAGGCTGCCTGGCACCTGCCCAGCTGAGTGCTGGTGCAGTCATCTTCCTACAAAGATGGGTGGTGTTCCCACACCCAGTTAAGTCGGATTGTATTAGCAAGAGCAGCAGCCAGCACCAAAGCAACCCATCCCCATGCCTTCACAGCTGTGTGTGTTGAACACCCGTTCTCCATTGGTGTTTGGAATTGGCACATGAGCCTCTTTCAGGCTTTCCTGGTTGTCATCTCCCTTATTTGTAGGAGCTCCTTATGCCAAAGTTATTGCTTTTCCTTCACCCACAAATGTTAAACTCATTGCTTTTTATTGGCAGGTATGTCAAGTTATACAGTTACACAGAAACAAATTTCAGGTAAATTAAAATGTCCCCCCAATAATAGAAAATTTGAAAAGAACTGTCAAATTCTTGCTAGCTGTAATAAGAAATACCAAAAAGATTTAAATACATAAAATGGGAAGACTCAGAAATAAAGTGTTAAGTGTTGAATGCTGTTATCAGGGTGAGGGGAACCCAAAAGTCATTTTTCTGTCTGATGCCACAACTGCCATATGGTCCAGTAGGTGGTGTGCTACCTCCTGCTCCTGGATCAGAAATGCACAGCCTGGGAGCCTCTGCAAGGAGAGGGCTCTGTGCTCACCTCCCAGCTCCATGGATAGGGAGCCTGATGCTCACCAAGGGGTCCATGGTAGCTGATGCAAGGAAAGGCAGAATGGTATTCTGTACACCGAACAGCACAATTTAATTGAACTTATTCTCGTCCTGCTGGGAACATGTCTAGTTCTTACTCTAACTCTCCTACAGGATTAGGACTTGTGCCCTGAATAGCAGGGGACTGTGGGCAGCAACCACCGAATTAGAGGTTGGCTGTGGCAACATGAACGAGGGATGGAGTTGCCCTTTGTAAGACTGATGGTAACTCCTCTGAGTAGCTCCTCAGCAGGGCTCTGCACAGGGTGAACAAGCTTTTACCTACATCAGCATATTGCTGTGGACCTAAGGAACAACATCCTAGTGCTTAGCATTTTTCCTGAGAAATGGATAACATTTTAGAGAAAAAACTGTAAACCAGATTCATTACAGTAAATGACAATAGACCCTGGGAATTTAAAAAAATGGAACTAAACAAAATCCCTTAAAGTTAGGAATAAAAATAGTCTAGCTGGTGTTTCTCAGTGGTTGAGTGTCGACTCATGCACCAAGAAGTCGCCAGTTCGATTCCCAGTCAGGACACATGCCCCAGTTGTGGGCCTGATCCCCAGTGGGGGTCATGCAGGAGGTGGCCAATGTTCTCTCTCATCTGTGTTTCTCTCTCTCCCTCAAATCAATAAAAAAAAAAAAAAAAGTTTGCTAAGGAAAAGAGCTATTTGAATTTGAGAATTTTGTTTTAAAAATAGGTACCAAGTCCTGGCCAGTTTCGCTCAGTGGCTAGAGCGTTGGCCCAGGTTCGGTTCCCACTAAGGGCACATACCTCGGTTGCAGTTTGTCCCCACTCGGGTTGGGATCGTGTGGGTGGCAACCACTCCATGGTCTCTCTCACATCAAGATGTTTCTCTCTCTCTCCCTTTCACCCTTTCCCTATCCCGCTCTATCTGAAGATAAGCGCAAAAATGTCCTCAGGTGAGTATTAAAAAAAAAAAAAAGTACCAAATGCCCTGGTTGTTTTGGCTCAGCAGTTAGAATGACAGTGCACGCACTGAAGGGTCGCAGGTTCAATTTTTGGTCAAGGGCATATACTTGGGTTGCAGGTTCAATCCCTGGCCCTGGTCAGGGTCCTGTGGGAGGCAACCAATCAATATGTCTCTTTCACATCAATATCCCTCCCTTCCAATCTATCAAAAAAAAAAGGCACCAAAGAAGTCTTTCTAGTAACATATTTTGGAAACAACAGTGTGTGGCACCTTTCACCCGGTGTAGCACCTATGTTGGGCCTGAGCGGAGTTCCCCATTTCCTCTCAAATGGGGCCCAGATACCCAAGACATCCCAGTATTTCTGGACACAGGTCAGAAGGGTGTGTTTTGAGATACAGATCCACTTTTGAGATGAAATTTTTACTAAAAAGTTAGGATATCCCTTCTGATCTTGAATAAAGTTAAAGCCCCACTTAAAAGGGTTTTCTAAATTTATATAATTTCTCACTAATTCCCCCCCCATACAAAAAAGGAGGTTCCACGCTCTTATGATTTCCATGATACTACTTGGTGACACTTTTTAATTTCATGTCATTCACATAGCACTTTAGTGGTTTAATAGGATACTGAAAATAGTAAAACATTCTAAGTGCAACAATTAATCATTGAATTCAGGAGAGGCATGAAATGTCCTAAGAAGAAACCTTTATTTGAAATGTAAGAACTTTTTACTGTGACAGTAATCTTTATGCTTTAATTTCCATTAGTTTCTCTTTTTAAACAAACTGTCTAATGTTAAAGAATTATGACTGTCCTCACCAAAATTCACTACAATTGTGATTACTCTCCAATATGAGCTCAAGATATTGAAAAAAATATAACAGGCATCCTTTGAAGCCTTTGCCCAGGAGTAACAAGCTCAGTGCTTCTCCCTGGAGGTACTTTGTGACCCTCAACTACAAAGGGCTGCCCGTGGAGCTGACGCAAGTTTCTCTGAGCCGGAGGCTTCCTGAGTCTGTGCCCAAGTGTGAGCGACTCTCATAGCCACAGAGGTCACAGCTTCCGGTGCACCTTCTGGTGCTGGATCAGGTGCCCGTGCTGGTTGAAGGCCCGGCCACACTCACCACACTCGTAGGGCCGCTCGCCCGTGTGGATCCTCTGGTGCTGGATGAGCACGGAGTACTGGCTGAAGGCCTTTCCACAGCGGCTGCACTCATAGGGTCTCTCGCCCGTGTGTGTCCTCAGGTGCACGATCAACGTGGCTTTCAGGCTGAAGGCCTTGTCACACTGCGTGCAGCGGAAGGGCCGCTCGCCCGTGTGTATCCTCTCGTGCTGGACCAGAGACCTGCGGGCACTGAAGGCATGCCCGCACTCGCTGCACACGTAGGGCTTCTCCCCAGTGTGCACCCGCTGGTGCTGGATCAGGTGGGAGTGCTGCACGAAGGCCTTGCCACAGGCATAGCAGCCGTAGGGTTTCTCCTCGGTGTGGATCCGCTCGTGGTTCATCAGAGTGGAGCGGTGGCTGAAGGCCTTGCCACATTCCCCGCACTCGTAGGGTTTCTCCCCGGTGTGCACGTTGTGGTGCTGGATGAGGACTGAGCGGTCACTGAAGGCACGCCCACACTCGCTGCAGGAGTAGGGCTTCTCCCCAGTGTGCACCCGCTGGTGCTGCAGCAGCGTCCTCTTCACGCTGAAGGCCCGGCCACACTCTGCACACTCGTGGGGCTTCTCCCCCGTGTGCACCCTCTGGTGGCTGCGCAGCACAGTGCTGTGGTTGAAGGCCTTCCCACACAGAGGGCACACATAGGGCCGTTCCCCTGTGTGGATCCGCTGGTGCTGAATGAGGTGCGAGAGCTGAGTGAAGGCCTTGCGGCACTCGAGACACTCGTGGGGCTTCTCTCCTGTGTGGATCTTGTGATGCTGAGCAAGGTCTGAGCTCACGCGGAACGCCTTTCCACACTCATTACACTCGTAGGGCTTCTCGCCCGTGTGGATTCTCCTGTGTTTGCTGAGGACCGAGCTCTGGCTGAAGGCCTTACCACACACCCCACACACGTAGGGCTTCTCTCCAGTGTGGGTCCTCTGATGCTGGAGGAGGTGAGAGCTCCGGCCGAAGCATTTCCCACACTCGATGCACTTGTAGGGCCTCTCCCCACCAGTAGTGGCTGGCTGCCGAGCGAGCGGCTCACTTGGGCTGGAGACCTGAACTTCAGGGGGGCTCACTGGGCTTGGACTCAGACAGAAGCTCTGCTCAGATTTGTAACTTCCTTGATCAATCCACCTGGGGGGTGTTTTCCCAAGAATCATGGATATTTCCTCTGAAATGAACGGCTTTAGGCTATTTTGGTTTTCTCCCTTCTTCTCACATTCTGAAAGGACACATCCAAAGGAAAAAAGTTAACTCAAATGTTCACCCACTCAAACCACAGCTCAAGTGTACCCCTGAAGGTGGCTTTGCTGCTGAGGGATGGCCAAAGAGATGCTGTGCACTCGGCTGTGTGAGCTGAGAGAATGGACAGCAAGAGACATGGTGTCAAACAAGAGACATGTCCAGGCTGAAAGGTGCATGAGGTCAGTCCTGTGTGAAGGGCACACATGGCCATGGCAGCAGGTGACAGCCTAGCAAGGCCTGAGCCCTACACTCCCAGGAGTCCTCTGTGCACTGGGCTCCCAGAGGATGTTAGGAGCAGAGATAAATGCAGGAATGCCAACTGCAGGGAGCCCTGCCAGGCAGATGGCAACACACACACGGCACAGCCTAATCCCAGACACAGGACCGCAGACTTGTGTGTGGGGGCTGTGAGCTCTTCCTTGTGTAGAGTGTGCTGGGAGGCGAGACAGCAGAGACAAGTCTAGGCCAGAAATGGCCTATAAGGCAGCCACGAGGATGGCAGACAAGTTTTTTTTTTTTTTTAATGTTTTTAGCCCTGGCTGGTCTTGCTCAGTGGTTAGAGCCTCAGCCCGCAGACCAAGAGTCCTGGGTTTGGTTCCCACTAAGGGCACATACCTCGGCTGCAGTTTGTCCCTGGCCCTGGTTGGAGTTGTGTGGGAGGCAACCACTCAATGTGTCTCCCTCACATCGATGTCTCCCTCTCTCTTCCCCCTTCTCCTCCTCCTGCTCTAGCTGAAGAAAATTGCAAAAATGTCCTTGGGTGAGGTCTAGAAAATTTTTTTATTTAAAAAAATTTTCCCCCTTTAATGATTTCAGAGAGAGAGGAAGAGGAGAGAGAGACAGAAACATCGATGAGAGAGAACATTGACTGGCTGCTTCCTGCATGCCCCCCACAGGGGATTGGGCCCACAACCTAGACATGTGTCCCAACCAGGAATCAAATCAGCGACCTATTGGTGCATAGGTCGACGCTCAACCATTGAGCCACATCGGTCTGATGTTTTTATTTCTTTTTTAGAGAGAGAGGAAGGGAGAGAGAGAAAAATATTGACGTGAGAGAGAAACATCAATCAGCTGCCTCTTACACACCTCCTACTGGGGATCAAGCCTGCAACCCGAACATGTGCCCTGACCGGAAGGGACCTCAGTCGATGGGACGGCACTCAATCCACTGAGCAACACTGGCTGAGCAGACAGACAAGTTTTATCTCAATAAAACTGGGAAAAATATCACACCTTCGTAGCTGATGAAGAGAAGTAAATTTGCATTTGTCTCCAGCCACATGGATAAACTCTCTTGTGAATTCTAATTAATCTTTTTCCAAGTAAATAATCGTATTAGCTGCAAACAACACTTTTCCTCTTTTTCCCAATTCTTTTACTTTCAATTTTGTTTTTTAGTGTGTGTATCATGCCTTACGTAGTGTGTGGGATCCCCAGACGTTACACACACGTGGGGATGGGAGGCTCCCTTGTTCATCGTCTCAAACAGTGTGCTTTAGCTCCACCCCAGGGTCAGGTTAACCTCCCTTCCACACTAGAGTGCTTCACTCTTTTCTAAATGAACCGGGTAACCTTCACACTATACACATCCCATAAGGACAGGGACGTGGCAGGGCAGAGTCACAAGTGTGGACTCACCTCCATGCGGCCTCTCCTGGCTCAGCCCTACCCGCTCACAGGTTCCTTTGCTGAGAGGCCCCAGGTGGAAGCCACTCAGCCCACAGTGCAGGAAGGCCAGCTCCTCTCACTCACCTGAACTGCCGCCACCCAGGCCACTGCTCTCCTTGGCCCCATTCTCGTCCAGGACCCAGGGCTCTTCTCCTCGTTCGAGCTGAGAGATCACATTGGGCTTGGTTCCTGGAAGGCCTGCTCATGGGAAGGGAAGGTCTTTTGTCTAGGGTGTCCCCACCCAACCTGAGCAGCTTAGGGGTGTGAAACAGATAGGACCGACCTCCCTCTGGAGCTGAGCACTGTGAAGAGACGCCAAGGACCCCACTGTATGCCCCACCTCTGGGAAGCCCACAGACAGACTCGCCTGCTAAGGGGCCTTACCCAATGAAACCACGTTTCCGTAGGTCTCCATCATCACATGTCGGTAGAGGCCCCTCTGAGCAGGGCCTAGCTGGTCCCACTCCTCCTGGGAGAGGAACACGGCTACATCCTCGAAGGTCACCTTAACCTGGAATGACAGGAGCTGCTGTAGGTCAGGCTAAGTCTCCACGTCTGAGACAGAGTGGGTACAAGCCACATAGGTTGAGGTATATCCCCAAATGAAGGAAAGCCCTATAATGCATGGGGACACCCTGGGAGCTGATGGGGTGACAGGAAGGGGCCATGGACTCCAGGGGATGTGCTGACACTCAGGCTGCCCCTGGGAGCCCTGGGCATGGGAGAAATGCAGCTACACAGGCCTCAAGGGCAGCTTACCTGGGGCCCTGCTGATGCTGTCAGGAGACTGGTGGATGTCATCGTCGGTCCCCTGGAGTCTCTGAGGAAGATGGAACTTAGAGAAGCCTGTGTGGTGGAGGAAGGGGAGGGAGCACATGAAAAGCCCAGGCTTGCCGCAGGACCCTGGCTTCTGGGGGAGCCCTGCCCTCTGTGTGCTCCAACTCTACCATTCAGGAGCCACAGAAACATGCCATTCCTGGGCATGGACCCAGGAAGGTCAAGACCCTGGGATGCCTGAGGATGCTTGAGCACCTGAGAGCTCTGGGCCATCTGTCCAACTCACTTGGCCTGGCCCATGGTCTGCCCACAGGGGCCTGTGCAAGAGCATTTACACAGGTGCTAAGTCATCACCTGGTCTGGTGCGGGTACCAGGCTAGGCTACCCCCAGAGACAACCCCCTGGAGAGGAGAGGCTAGGAAGGAAGGGATGGCTCTGCTCAAGGCCCACACTCCTGTGGGGATCCCACCCCATGCCCTACACGCTTGGCTTGACCATGACCTTCCATGGCTACAGTGACACTTCAGCTACGCCTGGTTGTGTCCAGCTGCCCTGGTGTCCCGCAGCAGGGTTCAGTTCTGTTAGAGCAAGTCTGGAGTGACCCAGGGGTAGGCGAGTTCTGGACAAGTTAAGGTGAGGTGCCTGTCATACCAAACTGCTGGAAAAAAGGGGGGACCAGGAGCTGTTCTGATAGGGGAGCGGGGTTCCCATCTTCTGGAGTGTAGAGGGGGATCTGCACCCATGCACAGTAGCCCAGCAGGCAGATCACTCCAGGAAAAAACAGTGAAGAACACAGTCACCCTTCTGGAGAACACACTGTGGGCCACCTGGAAGGAGCACCCCAACCCTGCTTTCTCTTTAAACATCAGGTGTGTGTGCATGTCTGTCCATATACCTTTCTAGGAGATACACACTGAACTCACTGCAGCTGCGCCTGTTCATCCAAAACGCTAATTTCCCCCAAATTTGGGTAAGGGCAATGTAACTCTAGTTAGAATTCCAATGTGAGTCTTTTCAAGGATAAATAAAAACATGGACAGGATCTAAAAAAGGGACTGCAGAGTGCCCAGCTAGCTCAATCGGTAGAGCATGAGACTCTTAAAAGAGGGACTGCAGAAAGGCAAAGAGCTTAGAATTCAACTTTTATTATTTATTATTATTTTTTAAGAGTTTAAGCAAAAGTGAGTTTGTTAGTGAAGCACCGAGACTGAGTAGGCTACTCCACAGGCAGAGCAGCCATTTCTGATGGTCTTGATACAAGCATGCCTGTCCTTCCAAAGATACCACTCACAGCGACAAGCTGTGACAGACACCCTCGGAATCCCTGGTCTGGGCTGGTGGCTCGCAGATCTCCTCCCTCTACCTGCACCCCTTCACCCCCTGGTTTCCCTGCTGGAATGCCCTGCCCCCTCATGTCCACCAAGACTGCCGTCCAGAGTGTAAGCATCTTGAGAAGAGGCAGCTCTGAGCCAGGTGTGAGCACCAAGTACAACCCATGACCTTCTGGAGCAAATGACCACAAAAATGCATCCAAACTGCTAGTGTCCTTACCCAGCAGCCCCGAACCAGAAAACATGGGGAAAAGATTCTAGTCAGAAATGGCAAAGAAACATGTTTAGCATAAACTTAGAAATATGATGTCCATCCTGCCCACTGTATCCACAAAGCCCAGGCCGGACCAGAGGGGCCTGGATGAGAAGGGGCTCAGAACAGCAGGGGAGCACAGGGTCTGTGATTCAAATCCCTGTGGGGAAGATGACTCACTAAATGGTACCAGGACAGAGTTCAGTGCTTTGGGAAAAATAAAACTACTTTCACATAAGGCTCAACAAATCTCTCAGAAAGTAGAGCCAAGGCAAAGAAACAAAAAAAATTAGATAATCTCATAACATACATGAAAAGTCTAACAAATCCATTATGCTAATTAATGAATAGGAGTTTAAAAAACTTTTTTTTTTGGTTGTTTGTTAACCCTCACCAGAGTATATTCTTTCATTGATTTTTCAATAGAGTGGAAGGGAGGGAGAGAAAAAGAGGAAGAGAAACATTAATGTAAGGGTGAGACACTGATTGGATGCCTCTTGCATGACCTGACCAGACTGGGCAGCGCTGGGATGGAATCTGCAACGGAGGTTCGTGCACTTGACCGGAAATCGAACCCAGGACCCCTCAGTCCACAGGCAGATACTCTAACCGCTGAGCCAAAGTAGCCGAACCTAAAATTTTATTGTTATTAATTAAAATTTTTTTGACCAATATAAAAGCTTATTTAACAAAAGTTCAACGTGAAAATGGTCACTACTTGACTTCTATATTGTGGTAAAACAGGTGCTGTGGAGTGGACATGTGGAAGCAGCTGATTTCTCTGGCAAACACAGACATTCTTTATCCTCATTCCAAGGTTTCTAACATGACGATGCTGTTTCCTCGTATTCCAGTATTGTGTATTGTTCTGTTGCCCATTAGCTGCCATCTCTACAATCATCTGTCACAAGATTCATAAAGGGATCAAATCCCAGCAATATTCCTTGGACATGTCCGCCACCATTTAATTTCAACAATAAGTTCTTGTCCATAAATTTTTTTAAATCGGGAGGGTGAGCTTTGCTCATGGTGTCTAAGCGAGCTCAAAGATAGCTGGGATTTGTGGCCTCTCTAATGCTCCTGCCGTAGACCCTGAGTTTTGCATCTAGGGCTAAAATTTTTAATTACATCCTAAAATAAGTTGAATAGAAAAGCAGGTAAACTTTCATTAATTTCAGTAGGAAGGGCCTTTCTAAGCAAAATAACCAAAGCAGAAAGCCTGGGGGGCAAACCTGCTGCATGAAATAAAAATTTTATGCACACCAATGCCCCCACAAAATCTAGAAATGGGCCCAAAGACATGTTAAGAACTTAATACACAACAGCGGTGGTTTTCCAAATTAAAGAAAAGATGTATTATTCAATAAGGAGACTTAGAAATAGCATGACTGGGGGGGAGGGATGAAGCTAGATTACCAGGTCATTCCACATTAAGACAAAATCTGGATCCAACATTTTACAAGTATCAGAGAAAAACAAGGGTTTGCTTTAAAAATAATTTTGGAGTAGGTAAAGCCCTTAAAACAACACAAAGCCGAAAAGCCTTAAAGGTAAATATTTGACCATTAAAAACTAAAAGTTTTTCATCTTTAAAAAACCGAAACCAGAACAAAACGACCTTTTATGAATGTTTTCCATGTAAATGGAAAATATGAACTGGCAAATCATAAAGGAAATATAGAGGCTAAAACACACGAAAAGTGTCGACCTCATCGATCATCGGAACGGAAATTAAAACACTGGTCTGGCGAGAACGCGGGACATCGGGGATGAGGCCCCAGCCTCGACCTTGTCCACCTCTGAGTCGCCCTACAGTGGACCGGGTGCCACGGCCGATCGAACGCGCGGCCGAGAAGATAGTTTGCAGCAGAGAAAACCCAACAAACACCGCGCGCCCCAAACCTCATTTCAGGTTAAAAACAAAAAAGCGCACGCAGATCCGGAAAGGACACAAAGCAAACCAGCCAGGGCCTCACCGCGCGCACGGCAGCCTGTCGCGGAGGGCCTTCCACTTTATTTTTCTGAAATGCATGTATTTCTAGAAAATTATTGCACATTGTTGTCTACTACTATATTAAAAAGCAGGGGATAAACAAGGAAAATACTTGCAAACTGTGTTACAAGGGTCGTCTCATTCATTGGAAAAGCTTACGAAGTAACAGGGAAAAGAGCGCCGGTAGAAAAACGTAGGAAGGTGTGAGGTCCGACGAGAAACTGCCGCCAACCGAGCCCCGAGGCGGTTTCCGGCGAACCAGGCGCCCTCGAGGCGGACCACCCTCGTCGGGCATCCGCGCCCACCCTCCCCGCGCAGACCCCGCCGCGGCCCTCCTACCCCACCAGGGCTCGCCGTCCGCGGGGGAGGGGGCCGCGAAGGGGCTCAGGAGCACCGGAGAGGGAGAGTGGGGGGCGGGGCAAAGGTTGAGGGTGGGGCTCGGTGCGGTCTGGGAAAGGGAAGGGGGCTACTGCGCGCCCTGCGGGAGGAAACCGGTGAGAAGGGTGGGGGCAGTGCGTGCTCGCGGGGAAGCACTGGATCCTGGCGGAGGATGCATCGGCTCCCGCGTCCATGAGGAGTGAGCGCCCCGACCCGCCGGCGCCAACCCGCCCACACTCACCGTCCACACCACAGCTTCACAGTGGAAGGGGCGGACGTCCGTAGCGCACTCGGACAAAGAGGACGCCCCGCCTGGTCTGTGCATCCACCAATCTCTGGGGGCCCCGCCTCCTCAGTCCCCGCCCACTCACCTGGACCTCCAGTCCTAGAGCGCGACATCTCCCCCCCGCCGGCCGTCGGCCCCGCCCCCCCCCCCCCCCCCCCCGCCGGCGCCTTCATAACTGACGGCCGGGGCGCGCGCTCTGGAGCCACTGAGAGCCGAGGCCTCCGCGCCGCCTAGAGAGGCCACCTCGCGCCCCGGCCTCGAACTGTGCGCACTGCCGGCGGCCTCATAGGAGATTCCGGTGCCCCACCCACCCTGCACAGCACCATCCCTGGGGGCTGTGACTCCTCCCCCGTCGCGCCGCGCTGTTGGCCTCTGCGCCGGAGGGTCCCTACTCAGTGCAGGCTGCCACTGCCTCCGTGGCGTAGCTTCTGCCTGTTGCCCCGGCTCCCGGTGAGGGCCTGATGGTGGTCATCATGGGTGACAGCGACCGCCTCCTGGCCATTCTCATTGGTGTTTATCGATTTGGGGGGGCAGACGCGCCCTCCCAGGAGGTGGCCCGAGGGGGGCGGTCCGGACTCCCTGGGAAGAGCCGTGGGCCTGTGACGCTCCATCTGGCAGGTGTGGCGTGCGGCTCAGAGGTCTCAGCAAGACAAGTCATTGCTGGAGGGTTCGGTCTGTCCCGCCCAGGCAGGTCGGAGGCCAGTGGGAGGACCTGCGGGATTTTGTAGTTAGGCAGCTGGGAATCCCGAGCCAGTCCTGCACCAGTGTTCTCTTAACAGCTGGGAGTGGCAGCTTTCTCCAGGGAACACCGTTTATCACCCCCCTGCCCCCCAGTGGAGCAGGGTCACGGCGACCAAGGACTGTGAAGCTTGGGGTCAAGGTCTTGGAGTGTTTTGCCAGTTGACAGTATTAAATAAAGAGGCCAGCAGTCTGAGTGGCTCTCCTGCTTTGGCACCTACTTAACCAAACTCCAACTGGGCTTCCCCGGGCTTCCCTAGTAAGGCCACTGCTAAGTTGTAGCCAACTAATTTCCGTGCTTTGCTTCTGCATCTTCTCTATGAAAACCTTTCTGGCTCTCCTCCGCAGGGCGCTGGGTTTGGCGCTGTCTGATTCCAATTCATGTTTGTTCAAGTAAACCCTTCGAAATTTTAATATGGCTGTTTATCTTTAACAAGGGGGAGTGAGCTCTGTACCAGCAACCTTGGTCCCAATAGAGAGCTGATTCTTCTAAGACCCAGCACACCCTTTCTTTGTCTCCACCAATTTTTATTTTGCAAATGTTAGTATATTCATAAAGGTTGAAAGAAAAATACTATGAACACCCTTGGACACCTCCCTTAGATTAAACAGCTATTTCACTAGTTTTTCTGGCAACTCAACAACTAGCATTTCGCCAGCACATCTTTTTGTGCCCAGCTCTGTCACCTTGTCTCTGTCCTTGTTTCAACAGCACAGTGTTTACTGAGTGCCTGTTGTGTGCTAGGTTGTTCTCAGTGCAGGGCTACATCAGGGAACAAGACAGGCAACATCCCCAATAAATCCCTCTGCTTCTGGACCTCACAGTTGAATGGGAAAGCAGGCAGCCCACAGGATATGTGAATCACAGTGTGTGTCCAGAGGGGCTGAGTGGCTCACACATGTCCCTTGGCTCAGTGGGTGGCATGAAACAGCAACAGACCACACCTTCTTCTGGATCAGTTAGTTTCACTGTTTCCTGTGTTTAGCTCAATGATAGAAGGCTCCCACTTCTGGAGGACACCCACATCAAGGAAAACGGTTTTTAGTACATTTCCGACCTCAGTTCATGACCACAGGCTCCAGCTTGTCCCCTCCCTATTTTCCATCCATCTTCCCTTCCCAACTTCCTGTCCTGCCTGCTATCAGGAACTGCTAAACTCTGTCCCATGATTCTGTGAGATGTAATCCCTATAACATTACATATGTTACGTATATAATTTCTGTCTCCTACTGATTCTGCTTCTCAACCCTAAAACAGTTTAGTTACAACACAAACATATGTGTATACAAATGAAATAAACAGTCCCCCTTTCTATTACAACTACTTTTTTGTTTCCATATTTTTAACTCTTTTGAGTGCATAATGACTTCAAGGCCTTTCACCAACTCTACTTGATCCAATTAACTATCATTATGATTATTAGTTACTTTAAAAATGCCCAAATTGTCCCAGCCAGTCAGAGGGAGTCCCTGAGCTTGGCTGACATTCTTGACCCTACCATCGTTTTTTACCACAGGATCCCTGACTGTGCTCAGTGGAAAAGAACCAAGCCAGACCTGGCCAGTTTTCTCAATGGTTAGAGCATTGGCCCTCAGACTGAAGGGTGGAGGATCCAATTCCCAGTCAAGGGCACATATGTGGGTTGCAGGTTTGATCCCAGCTCTGGTTAGGGTCGTGCGAGAGGCAGCCAATTGATGTGTATCTCTCATGACACATCGTTCTCTCTCCCTCCCTCCTTTCCACTCTATCTAAAAATCAATGGAAAAATATCCTGTTGAGGAATAACAACCATCACAAAAAAAAACCAGGCCAAAGTTTGGGCTTCTAGGGGTGCACTTGAAATTTTTGGTCCTTTGCATATTGTTAAGAGTGCCAGGCTGGATAAGGAGAAATGTGAAGCCAAGGAGGGAAGATGTGGATCAGCAGATTGGAGGTCTCCAGGAGGCAGAAAGACCAAGTAAATTAGAGGGTAACAGGCAGATTGTCATGAAAACTGCTGGTGCAACATTCTTTTCTAGAGTGCTACCTCAGGAACACTGGGGGGCCGGTGGGGTGAAGAAACCTGACTATACCTCTGTGGGTGAGCAGTGATGGGTTACTTTAAAAAAAAAAAAAAGTTTTTATTGCTATTTTAGAGAGAAAGGGAGAGAAAGAAATATTGTGATCATTAAAATGTCCATACTACCCAAAGCAATCTAGAGATTCAATGCAATCCCCATCAAAATACCAACAACATATTTCACAAAATTTGAACAAATACTTCAAAAGTTCATATGGAACCAAAAGATACCCCGAATAGCCACAGCAATCTTGAAAAAGAAAAACAAAGTAGGAGGAATACCGGATATCAGGTTATACTACAAAGCCACAGTAATCAGAACAGCCTGGTACTGGCACAAGAATAGGCATATAGATCAATGGAACAGAACAGAGAACCCAGAAATTGACCCAAGACATTATACTCAATTAATTTTTTTTTTTTTATCCTCACCCGAAGACATTTTTCCATTTTTTGTTCAGGTAGAGTGGGAGGGAGAGAGAGGAACAGAGAGAGAGAGAGAAACATCGACGTGAAAGGAACACATCGAGTGGCTGCCACCCACACAACCGACCAGGGCCGGGGACAAACTGCAACCGAGGTACGCGCCCTTAGCGGGAACCGAACCCCGGTCTCTCAGGACCACAGGCCGATGCTCTAACCGCTGAGCCAAACCGGCCAGGGCTGCTCAATTAATTTTTGATAAAGGTGGCAAGGGCATACAGTGGAGTCAAGACAGCCTCTTCAATAAATGGTGTTGGGAAAATTGGAGAGCTACTTGCAAAATAATCAAGCTAGACCACCAACTTACACCATACACAAGAATAAACTCAAAATGGATAAAAGACTTAAATGTGACTTGTGAACCCATAAAAATCCTAGCAGAGAAGGTAGGCAACAAAATTTCTGACATCACATACAACAGAATTTTCACTGATACAATGCCTAAGGCAAGAGAAACAAAGGAAAAAATGAACACATGGGACTATATCAAACTAAAAAGCTTCTGCACAGCAAAAGAAACCACCATCAAAATGGAAAGGAAACCCACTATATGGGAGACCATAATTGCCAACAATACATCAGATAAGGGGTTAATTTCTAAAATATATAGAATACACATACAACTCAACAAAGGGAAGATAAAGAACCCAATTAAAAAACAGGCAGAAGACCTAAAGAGAGACCTCTCGAAACAGGACATACAAATGGCGAAGAGACATATGAAAAAATGCTCAACGTCACTAATCATCAGAGAGATGCAAATTGAAACAACGATGAGGTTTCACCTCACACCTATCAGATTGGTTCCATCAACAAATCATCAAACAAGTGCTGGCGAGGGTGTGGAGAAAAGGAGACTCTAGTGCACTGCTGGTGGGAATGCAGACTAGTGCAGCCACTATGGAAAACAATATGGTGTTACCTCAAAAAATAAAAAATTGATCTGCCATTTGACCCAGTGATCCCACTTCTAGGAATATATCCTAAGGAGCCTGTAACTCCAATCAGAAAGAGTGTATGTACCCCTATGTTCATAGCAGCACTATTTACCATCGCTAAGATCTGGAAACAGCCCAGGTGTCCATCAATAGATGAGTGGATAAAGAAGCTGTGATACATATACACAATAGAATACTATGCAGCTATAAGAAAGATCTCTTATCTATTTATTTATTTATTTATTTATTTAATTTGTTTTTGTTACAGATGTTTCTCATTTTTCCCCAGATCTCTTATCCTTTGAGATGACATGGAGGTACCTGGAGAGTATTATCCTAAGTGAAACAAGCCAATCAGAGAAAGATAAATATCACATGATCTCACTTATTTGTGGAATATAATGAACAAAACAACTTGATGAACAAAATACACCCAGAGACATAGAAGTAGGGTACAGACTGACAAACCTCAGAAGAGGAGGTCAGGGGGTGGGGGGCAAGGGAGGGAAGAGATAAACTGCAGAACTTATATGCATGTATACATAACCATGGACATAGACGACAATGCTGGAGATGGGGCAGGGATTGGGAGGTGGGTGTCAATGGGGGGAAAAGGAGAAACATGTGTAACAAAAATAAATTAAAAAAAATATTGATGTGTGATAGGGACATCAACTGGCTGCCTCCTGCATGCCCCCCCACTAGGGATCAAGCCCACAACCTGGAAATGTGACCTGACTGGGAATTGAATTGAGAACTCCCAGTTCATGGGACAACGCTCAATCCACTGAGCCACACCGGCTGGGCAAGTGATAGGCTACTTTTGATGGTCTCTGAAATGAGGGCAGGTAGTCCATTCTGCTCCAAGCCCATGGGACTGACCTTTGCAAGCCAACTCTCCCACACTTTATTCTCTTCAGACCTACAACCTTTCTCCTCACTGGAAACACAGAAGCCAAACCCTTACCTTCCCACCGTATTTACAAATCTGACCACACCTGTCCATTTCCTCCTGGAACAGTGCAGGAGGGGCCTATCCACCCATCCACCCTACCACACCCACAGGTTGAGACCTGCTGGTTGGTGATCAGGGACCTCCCGTTGGCAAATGTGTTGCTTCTGGGCCAAGATCCCCCTGCTCAGGGAATGTGGGCAAAGCTCTGGGAAACTGAAGAGGGTCAGTCCTCCCCTTCCAGAAACACTTAACATGTACCTCACAAATATCTGGTGATGAATGGACCTGGGAATAAAACCTAAGGCTGGGAGATCGTAGAGAGAACAGGAGGGACAAGAAGAGAGTTGTCTGTGGGCCAACAACTAAGACTATAAGGCACAGAACTGGAAGCTGGGAAACAGCCACATGTGTCATTGTGCAGCAGCCTTAAGCAGGGACCTGAATCATAGTGGAGCTGTGAGGAGAAAGCACCGTGGCCGACGACAGATTGGTGTAAAGGATAGGGAGCAGCATGTGAGTCTTGTGTCTAGATATGGAATGGACAAGTAATGAGTACACACCACCCTGTAGAAGGGTGACAGCAATCAGACCTGAAAAACTCTTGACCTTATTTTATGTAAACAGAATATGGATTACAGCCACTAACAAAGTACTCCTTTCTAGTGACTAGCCCCCACCCCCGCCAAAATAATAATTACTGTGGTTACTTTGAAGCAAATGTCATTTACTTTTTTGGTTATGTTTGATTATAGTAATAAACTTCATAAATATGCAGCCTCTATCATTTTTTCCCTCCGAACAAACATGGCAGTCTCATAACAAAATGTAAAAAAAACCAGTAAGATTATGTGAGCTGGGTGCAGTGGCAAGAGAGAGCCTTCGAAAAATGCCCCAAAGGAGGGTCCCAGGCTTTGTGAACAGAAGTTGCAGGTGGAGGGCAGGGAGTAGGCCCGGCTGAGTCGGGGGTTGGCTTCACTCCCTGGTGTGGGTCAGCTGGTGCTTGAGCAGCTTTGAGCGCTGGCTGAAGGCCTTCCCACATGCAGTGCAGTCGTAGGGCTTCACGCCAGTGTGGATCCTCTGGTGCTGGATAAGGACCGAGCGCTGACTGAAGGACTTCCCACACTCAGTACACTTATAGGGCCTCTCGCCTGTGTGGATGATCTGATGTTGAATGAGGTGTGAGCTCTGGCTGAAGCCCTTACCACATTCAATGCACGTGTATGGCTTCTCTCCAGTGTGAACTTTCTGGTGGTGGATGAGGTTTGAGCTTCGGTTGAAGGCTTTACCACACTGGTTACATTCATGGGGTTTCAATCCATTATGGATTCTCTGATGCTGAATGAGAGTTGAGCTCTGGCTGAAGGTTTTTCCACATTCTGTACATTCATAGGGCTTCTCTCCAGTGTGAACTCGCTGGTGAAGGATGAGGTTGGAGCTGCGGCCAAACGTCTTCCCACATTCCCGACACTCGTAGGGCTTGTCGCCTGTGTGTACACCTTGGTGCTGAATGAGTGCTGAGCTGTGACTGAAGGCCTTCCCGCAGATGCCACACTCATAGGGCTTCTCTCCAGTGTGGATTATCTGGTGCTTTCTGAGTACTGAGCTGTAACTAAAGGCTTTTCCACACACATTACACACATGTGGCTTCTCTCCAGTGTGGATCCTCCGATGTTGAATGAGACTTGAACTCTGACTGAAGGCCTTCCCACAGTCACTGCATTTATAGGGCTTCTCTCCTGTGTGAACCCGGTGATGCTTAATGAGGTTGGAGACCCGGCTGAATGGTTTGCCACACTCATTACACTCATAAGGTCTCTCCCCAGTGTGAACTCTCTGGTGCTTTCTCAGGTGTGAACTCTGGCTGAACGCTTTCCCACACTCATTACATTCGAAAGGCTTCTCGCCTGTATGAATCCTGTGGTGTTTGATGAGGTTGGAACTTCGCCTAAAGGCCTTCCCACAATTGCTGCACACATACGGCCTCTCCCCAGAATGAATTCTCTGATGTTGGATAAGGTTTGAGCTCCGCCTAAAAGCCTTCCCACAGTCACTACATTCATAGGGCTTCTCACTCATGTGAGACTTCTGGTGCTTCTTAAGGCTGGAATTCTGGCTGAAGGCTTTCCCACAGTCATTGCAAACATAAGGCTTTTCTCCACCATGGGTGACCTGATGCCTAATGAGGTTTGAGTGCACACGGAACGCTTTCCCACATTCGCTACATTGGTAGGACTCACTCACATGAGATCTCCGATGGTTTTTAAGAACTGAATTCTGGCTGAATGCTTTTCCATATTCATTACCTATGAAGGACTTCTGACCAGTGTGGATGATCTGATGCTGAATAAGATCAGGGTTTCCTCTGAAGGTTTTTCCACACTCATTACATATGAGAGTGCTTTCAGCTGTGTGGAGCCCCTCATGGCTAGTTAGGTCCACACTGTGTTGGAAGCTTTGGCCACACATGTACGGATGTGGCATCTCTTCCACAGAAATTCCTTGATATGCCCCTGGGTTTGGGCTCAGACTAAAGCTTCTCTCAAAATCATCACAGTCTGTCTCTCTCTCCACTAAGGGGCTGTTAAGGAGCACTGCAACTTGTGTGAAATCCTCGTCTTGACAGAGAGATGGCACCTGTCTCATGTTGTTAGGGACTCCCCAGTCTCTTTCTAATACATCCTCACAGAGTTCTCCAAACTCAGGTGCCAAGGATATGTCACTGGTACAGTTTTCTGATATTTTTGCCTGTGATTCTAAATCCTCAGAAATGTCTTCCTTCTGAAGAAACTCCTTGCTCTCAATCCCGGTGTCCCAATCTGAAATGACAATGTCACGTGGAAGGAAACAGGAAAATACACAGATGACGAGTCTGAGAGTGTGGAATCCACTGGGGGTGGTAGTCCCAGATTTCTCCAGGGGATCAGGGAAGGGCAGGGAAGCTCTGGAAAGGCAGCATGGCAACTGAAGACCAACCCTCAGCCCGCTGCCCCAGCACCCACATCTCAGGAAATCACCTGCAGTCTACCTACTGGTTCAGGCCAAAGTCCCAGGCGCCCCTCTTCTCACCCACAGCAGGTCATCAGCAAGTCTTGTTGACTGTATCTTGGCGTGTGTCCCACACCCAGGCACTGACCCCTCCCACCTGTACAAGGAAAACATTACATGCCCTGCATGACACTGGTAAACATTCTACCCATTTCCCTTTTTCATGATGCATGTTGTCAGCTTCCTGGGCCCATCTGCTGTTTGTTCAGTGCTAACTAGTGAATTTCGGGCTTTGCTGTGACAATTGCTATGGGGGAAGGTGGGCCCAGAGAAGTTAAGCTGATTCTGACTGGTGGGGACTCTGGTGCAATGTCAGATTCTGTTCTGTTCAATACAGAAGCCTTCAAAGGCCATGCCCTATCCTCCCAAAGACACTTTTACCTTCTAGAATCTGCAAATCTGACTGGTGTCAGTTGAACAATTTCTTGCCCTGGCACAACATTTAAGCAACTGCATCCATCTTTCTGAAGGTTCCATGTCACACCTGAAGGAACAAGGAAACCCTCGTTCCCCTGAATCTTTCACTTTAATGACTATCTTGAGTCTCTGTCTCATTCAAATTGTGACACCCAGGCCATACTGGTGCCATCTTCTCCTGCCTGGACATTGAATCATGTCCCTGGCCTCCCACCTTCCCTCTCCTGCCCACAGGCAGCCTGGTAACATCAAAGTACTTCATCCTCCCAGAGCTCACCCCCAACTCTGCTCTTGATGTTTACTGAGCAGGGTAGATACACCCCCGTTAGGGTCTGCCTTTTATGGAACACACTCCCCAGATGGTTCTCACACACCTTACTGGAAAGGCCTTCTCTGATCACCTTTCCTCCTTGCTGTCTCCTACACTGCCCAGACCATGCTGCAACAGGGCTCATATCCTAGGACTGGGGCAACCCCTTGTCTTGGCTAGTCATGGTGCTGAGTGGATAGGTAAAGGACACCCCTCTTCTACTTCCCAGCCTCCTTGGGCCCATCACCCTCCAACCTGCCCTTCAGCCCAGATCAATACCCCTGGAACTACAAGAATTTGCCACCACAATAGCACTGTCTCCCTGCCTCATCTGGATGCTTCTGTTCTCCTCAGTGTAGACCTGGCATGGTCACGTGCTCGGTTTGTCTGCCCACCACACCCACGTGTCACCCAACCTGTGGTCCAGACACACTGTGCTCTGGCACCCCCAGGGTGTCTAGGGAATATCCACATGCTGCTGGGTTCTCAGGATTAATGGAGGAAGGCAGCAAGGACTGCAGGGACAGGCTACCATATGAAACAATGGCCTGCAAGGGATGGCCCAGGGCTCATGGTGGCCCCACTGCTCCCAGTAATTGACCCAGGGAAGACCCCTCCCTCTTCTGGCTACACCTGGGGAAGGGACTGGAAGGGACTGACACAAGAGTAGGCAGAGCTTTCCCGTAAAGGATCAGAGAGGATGGACCCACTTTAGGCTTCATGGCTGTGTGGTCTGCTTTGTTACAACTGTTAAAAACCTCGAAACTGTTCCTTGCTCACGGGCCATAAGAAACAACTTGACACTCTGCCTTTGCTTCCTGCTTTCACTGAGCTTAGATATCTGCCAGGGAGTCGAAGCTATGACATTCATAGGTCTTTTCTGAGCATAGATTCTGTCCTCTCAAGATCCGATATACAAGGGTGGTTCTGAATACCCTAATTTTCCCGACTTTTCCTCCTGGGTGGTTGACTGTACTGTTAACTGCTGTCCCAGATGGCCGTGGGGTGTCAGTTCACTTTATAATGTTTTTTCCCTCACCATTTTTCTGCCCCGAGTAACTTCTCAGTTAGGCAAAACAGTTGAGAACTCTGCATAAACCCTTTATCCAATCCCACACAGGTTAGAACAAATAATTTCTGAGTAAGTTCTACTCCACTCCCTCTGCAACCAGGGACTAGGGTCTCACACTGGGAACATAGGCAGCTCTCTTGTTGATATTTACTGAACCATGGAGTGTTTTGGGCACAAGCAAGTAGATCACATGGCTTTCCTACCATTTTACAGTTGCCTTTTCCTTGATTCAGCATTGGCTTGGTTGCTGTAAATATACTGTCTAGATTTCTGACAAAAGTTGGTCCAGGAAGTTTCTGCTTGGTTTTAAAAAATATTTATGTGGAAAAACAGGTGTTTGGAGCTACCTACTCCACTGCTTTGCTCCACATGGCTTTGTAAACAAGCCACTTGTTTGTTTTCTGGAGTAAGCGTCCTAGCTTCCCTCACCATTCTCTACCTAGCACACCTCTGGCCACCTGGTTAAGATTTTGCCTCTGCCTGGGGCAATAAGCAGGCCTATATTTCAGGGCTACCTGATGTCTCTCTTCTACATCTACCTTTCCCCTCTGACACACATATTACGGCCCTACACCACCTCTGTCCCTAGCCCAGCCTTCCCTGGCCACACAGGTTCTAATAAGGTACTCTGACCAGATGTCCCGAGTACAATAATAGGTCTTATGTAGGAGACAAGAGTGTCCCCTTGTACAACACACCTCATCAGATCCCAGTAAAGAAAGCTAACAATAAGTAACCATCCTGATCACTGTTGAGAGGTCCACAGAAGAGCCAAACTAGTGAGGGGTTAGTGGTAGGGTTCTAAAGGGGATGGAAGCAGCTGGGCAGCGTGAAGGAAGGCAGAAGGGGCAGGGCCAATGCCTGGAATAGGGCAGAGCTCTGAGGGAAGCAGACTACCACCACCTGGTGGTTGGGCCGGGCAGAGCTCAGCTGGCAACCATCACACTGCACCCCTCTGTCAGGCAAGGAAACCAAAGTGTCACACTCAGGGAAATAGGGCAGCTAGGGGCCTGGTCAACTTCCTCTCTGACCTTCAGCTTTGGGCCCTAAAGTCCATGAGGCACCCTATCCCTAATGATAACACGCACAACTAATGGGGATTGCAGGGTGACACAGACAAAGTCCCCCAGAATGAGAGCACCAGTGGGGAACTCGGTCCCAGTACCTGGCCGCCGATGGTAAGAGGGGATGGTTCCCAGCTCAGTGTCATTGCAGCAGAGTGGACCACGAACTGCAGATGCAGGGTGGGTCATGGTGGGAGCATCGCTCACATAGGTCTGGACTGAAGGGGTCCAAGGGGACGGTCCAGGAACTAAGGGCTCCATTTCTTCCTCTTCGGGGCGAGCTCTGAGGCTGGGCATGACTGGGGCCTGGAGACCAGAAATGACACTGGTGAGTGTACAGAAAGGCTAGCCCCAGGGACCCATCCTCCACCCCTGCAGCCCCATGACCCAAGGAGAACCTGGTGCTGAGTCTCAGGGACCACCACCACATTCCCTGATCCTGGACCCAAGGAGGGGGGCAGCCAGCCACAGGACACAAACTCATGAGCCAGAGCCACAGCTATGAAGGAGTGAGATGCTGACCCTAGGGCAAGATGAGTAGACGGTGCCCTGTGGGCACACCACAGAAGAGCCCAGGCCTGCCATGACAGGAAGACAGCAACCCTCAAAGAGCCTCCACCCACTGTGGACCCACTCCTCAGTCCTGACAATCTCTGAAGGTAGACCACCTGACCCACTTACAGGGGGGACCAGCAACCCCAGAGTTTGGGTAGGCAGGGGCAGCCTGTGCTGCAGACAGGTACAGGGTCACCACAGTGGCATCCTAGTTGTTAGTTCTGAGCTGCACCCTCCTGGCAGCATCCACAGTAGATATCCTCATCTCCACCCTCCTGGGCTACCCTACCACTGCACCAGCAGCTCCCTCCAAGGTTCATCTCCCTCTTCATGCAGGTGCTTCAGGGTTCACCTCTGTAGCCATACCAACTTCCTCAGTTAATCTGTCCAGTCCTGAGGCATCAACAACCCATTTATCCAGTGAAGACTCCCAAACTGGGTTCATCTCCAGCCCCAACTGCTCTCTCTTAGCAGGAAGATAAAACACTCCCACCTGGTCACATGATGGGTCCCCGACATCACGAAGTTACTGATTCCCCCACCCCTTGTACTGCCTCATCCTTGTGCAAATCCAGTATGCCCAGTGGCCCACCCAGGAGTAGGGTGACACTCCTTAGCCCCCTTTTCACACTGCACCATTGACAGATACAGTGACCCCCTCTGCTTTTCAGGGGTGAAGAAGACAAGGTAGGAAACATTGGCAGAAGCCCATTTTGGACATTGCCTGCCAACCTATAATCCTTTTTGTTGTTGTTGTTGATATTTAGAGAGAGAGAGAGAGAGAGAGATCGGTTTATTGTTCCACTTATTTATATATTCATTGGTTGATTCTTGCATGTGCCCTGACTGGGGATTGAACCTGCAACCTTGGCTTATAGGGATGATGCTCAGCTACCCAGCCAGGGCCTGGACTGGATTTAATAAAATTTTAGCCCTGGCTGGTTTGGCTCAGCAGTTAGAGCATTGGCCTGAGGAACCAAGGGTTTGGGGTCCAATTTCCTGTCAAAGGCACATACCTGGGTTGTAAGTTTGATCCTAGGCCCGGATTGGGGTTCTGCAGGAAGCAATTAATCAATGTGTCTCTTTCATATTGATGTTTCTCTCTCTCTCACCCCCTCCCTCCCTCCCTTTCATTTTCTCTAAAAAAAATCAATAAAGGATTAATCAGTTAATCAGTGAGGATTAACAACAACATTTTATAGACTGATTTTAGAGGGAGAGGAGGAGAGGGAGGAGGGAGAGAGCGAGCGAGTGAGGGCAAGCAACAGTGATTTGTTGTTCCACTTACTTATGCATTCATTGATAGATTCCTTTTTTTTTTTTTAATCCTCTCCTGAGGACATTTTTCCATTTTTTGTTCAGATAGAGTGGAAGGGAGAGAGAGGAAGAGAGAGAGAGAGAAACATCGATGTGAAAGGGACACATCGAGTGGCTGCCACCCGCACGACCAACCAGGGCCGGGGACAAACTGCAACCGAGGTACGTGCCCTTAGCGGGAATCAAACCCGGGTCTCTCGGGACCGCAGGCCGACACTCTAACCGCTGAGCCAAACCGGCCAGGGCGATTGATAGATTCTTGTATGTTCCTTGACTGAAGATTGAACCTGCAACCTTGGCTTATAGGGATGATGCTCTAATCAAATGAGCTACCTGGCCAGGGTAGATTTTTCCTCTTGGACACAGGTTTTCAGTGTTTCCCAAACATCCACCATATGTCAGGATGTGTTCTGGGGATGCTGTGGTCCACAGCAATGACCATGACACTCATGGACTCCATGGGGAGGACAGATTGTAGCAAATGCACCAGTAAGATGGGCAAGTACTCTGTGCAGAGACAGCAAGGAAGGAATGGAGTCTTGGGGCTGAGGGTCATTTAAACCAGGCTCAGACAGGGGTTTTAGGCCACACCTGGCTATAAAGGTGGAAGAAGGCAGGGGTGAGATGGGGGCAGAGGTGTGGACAGAGCTCAGAGGCATGGTCACAGGCAGATACACTACAGGAAGTCTTGGTTGTCTGATGAAGGTGAGACACCAGCCACATTTCTATGTGACGAAAGAAACACAACTAAAGAACCTTGTCAGAAAGATCAGCCTGGCACGGGTGGTAAGCAGGTTGGCATAGATAAAACTGAAAGCAGGGAGAGCACTGACTTAAGGCACCTATCATGTGACTACAGAACAGAGCAGATGCTGCTTCTAAGGGGGACTGGCTCATACTCCCTCTCCCAAAGGGAGACTCAGTCATTTGCAATATTTAGTCAGTTCATTTCATTTTAAAATTCTCAAAATCATTATCACTGTCACCAAACAGGGCACAGTCATATGACTCAAAATTCAAAACGTAAAAAACGACTATGGTGAAGTACCTCCCAGCCAGCCACTCTGTTCCCCTTCACAGTTTCTAATGTATCCTTCCAGATAAATCTAAGCTACACAAGCAAATATATGTATTTTTCCTTTGCCTTTTCATTATAAAGTGCAACAAATTATGGTCGTTTTAGATCTTGTTTTAGTCATCCCAGTACACGTGGGATCTTGTCCAGGAGGTCATAGACCCAGTTGGTGGTAGACAAAATGCCCCTCTCCACCCACATCCACACTCGAATGCCTGGAATCTGTGGATATGCTGCATTACACAATAAAACAGACTTTGCAGAGGGAATTAAGGGTATAGGCCTGGTTTATCCTAGTAGACTGCAAGTAATTACATGCGTTGTTGCTGACTCTGAGACCCATGTGCATGAGTCATGTGCAAGTATTGGAGCCTCCAGAAGATAAGGGCAGTCAGCAAGAAAACATGCACTTCAGTGCAACAATCTCAAGAAATAGGGTTCTACCAATGAACGTGGAAGCAAATTCTCATGGTTCAGGGCTCAACCTGGTGCTGAGCAGACAAGTGGAAGGACAAGTAGTCACGAGTCCAGCGCAGGCATCCACAGGATGGGCACGACCCACCCCTCAGCCCAACTCCCACGGGAGAGCAAACTCTTCCCCTCCCCAGAGCCCCTACTCCACCGGCAGAGCGAACCCACCGCTGACGGGGCCTCCAGGCAGCACAGCTGGGCTGCGCGACGGCCTCACTTCTCACCCAGCCCGACGTTCCCAGCGAATTCCCGAGGCGCTTCCTCCGCGCCAACCCCACCTCCAGGACAGCACTCACCGCACACGGCCCCGCCGCCCTGCGGCAGCTGCGCCAGGCGGCCCGCGGCCAGGCTCCGGGGCAGGGGCAGGACAGCCACCGCGCCGGCCCCGAAGGCTCGGCTCGCCCAGGCCGCGCAGCCCCTGCCCCTCCGCCCGCGTTCCCACGCCCCCGCCCGTCTGCGCTAGACAGCCCGGGGCGGTACCCACCGCGGGGCCATGGGCACCACGCGGGAGCACAGCCGGCGAGCAGAGGCTTCACCCTCGCGAACGCCCCTGCCCCGGGGGTCTCTCCGGAAAAGTGCGACGCCGCGCACCGAAGCGGTTCGGCCCGAGGCCGACTCCGGAAGTCTCCTCCCAACTTCCCGTCCCAGGGCCCGCCCGCCCGGCCCGCGTAGGCGCTCTAGGTGGTTGGAGGCCGCAGCAACTCGGTGGTCCGCCCCCGACCTCAGCCCGAACCGAGCTCCCAGCCGCATCGCCCTGTCACCTGTCAGAGCAGGTGGGTGCAGCTAAGGAGGTGTCCACTAAACAGAAAAAAGACAGCTGAGCCCTGGCTGAGTTGTTCAGTGGTTAGAGCGTCACTCTCCCACCGAAGCGTCGGCCCCGGGGTGGGACATGCTGGAGGCAGCCAATGGAAGTTTCTCTCACATCACTGTTTCTCTCCCTCTCCCTCCCTGCCTCCCTCCTTCCCTTCCACTCTGTAAATATCAATAGAAAAAAAATCTGCGGGCGAAGATCAACAAACAAACCAAAGAAAGACAACCAATTACAAATGCATGTAGTGGCCCAGCAGGTGTGGCTCAGTGGTGAGTGTCTACCCTGCACCAAGAGGTCCCCGGTTGGATTCCCCGTCAGGGCACATGCCCAGGTTGTAAACCCGATCCCCAGTAGGGAGCGTGCAGGAGGTGGCCCATCATGTTCTCTCTCATCTTTTTATATTGATGTTTCCGTCTCTCCCTCTCCCTTCCCCTGTCTCTAAAAATTAGTAAAGAAAAAACATATAAAAAGAAAAAAAGAAAAAGAAATGCATGTAGTGGGATTTGATACACAGCTTCCAGAATAGGAACTGATTCTAGACAAAAACAAAAACAAAAAGCAACTAGACTGCAGTGGAAGAACTGAACCCCTCAGTCAAAGGAGTCGAAGGATAGACGGAAAAACTCGGATTCCTTGGATATGCATTTCGTGGGACTCTTCATGGAACATTTACAAAAATTGATGATACGCTTAGACATAAAGAATACAAATAACAGCCCTGGCCGGTTTGGCTCAGCGGTTGGAACGTTCACGCGGACCACAGAGTCCTGGGTTCGGTTCCCACTAAGGGCATGTACCTCGGTTGCGGTTGTCCCGCCCTGGTTGGGGTTGTGTGGGTGGCAGCCAGTTGATGTGTCTCTCTCACATCAATGTTTCTCTCTCTCTCTATTCCTCCCTCTCCCTCCCACTCCATCTGAAGACAACTGCAAAAATGTCCTTGGGTGAGGATAAAAAAAAAAAAGGAATACACAAAAAGTTGATCAAAAACCTTAAGCACTGTAATTTATGAAACAGTATCTACATAACCTTTGAATCAAAAACTGATACTAGCTGGAAAATTACAGACTATAAAGCAATGAAAAGCAAAACAGTTCATGTCACGCCTATGGAACCCGGTGTAAAGTGTAAAATATAGTCTCAGTGTGACTTGGCCCTGAACTGAAACTTCTCTGGGCACTGGACTCCATGAGCTCCTACTCTAACTGGTGAGCAGCAGCATTTTGAGTTAACAGCAATTCAGAGCCAGATCAACCTAACCCTGCCCTGTCACCAGGAACAAGCCTGTACTCCAAAAGTCAGGGGTATGAACCCATTGTCACCAGGGTGACAACATGAGAGCTGGAGGTATCTCATCGAACAAAGGAAGCAGAGTTGTTGTAGGACCGGGGACAGGAAAGGATCAGTCAGGTGAGACCTACACAAAGCCAGGGGTCTACAGGTCTTCACTGTGAAGTAGGCCCAGGCTCA